TTTCGAGAAAAATAAGATTTGTGTAACTATCAAGATTTCTTTTATAATTTTAGCATAGTTATAAAACTGATACCTCTCCAAGAAAAGTAGATAAAGTTTTAATTTTTGTACTACCAGCCTTTCCTCTTTTCCGACTCGTTTTCATACCTGGCTAGATTGTTTTAACCTCATACATCCATGTCCTACTCTTGGGCTTCAGCCACCACACGCTTTCTGATAAGTAATCTGCGCAGATTATTTAAGAAGCGAACCACTTGTGCGCAAGAACCCGAATTCTATTTTAAAAAGTACTAGAGAGACATTTATCATATATATTTGAGAATTGAATCTGGAGTGGTTGACAAGTAAATAAAACAAACCAATTATATTCATAAATTTAAAAAAAATCTAGACATATATTTGCTACCACTTTCTAATTTTTAATAGATTTTATATTGAATGGTTTTTTCACATAGTGGTTTGCCCTCATAACGGCTTCATCGGACTACCTACAAAAAACTGTGTCGAGACTCTCAGTTATAGGAGGCGTTGCCTCTGCCCATGAATTGAGAACCGATTGAGTACTTGTCAACTTTTACGTTATTCAAAACTGTGTTTTCTTAGTGGTAGGGTAAAACCGTCGAAATTGAATTGCTTCGTGAAAACTTAGTAATTAAAAAACACTATTAGAGGATGCTGAATATTGTTTTTTACTCGGTATTAGGCGCGAAGCGTCTCCAACTGATTCATCTGCACTGTGTACTATGAAGTAACGTTTATTCATAATTTGTGCTGAATAATATCCATCTGAGTTAATGACATATGCATAGCAGCTCTTGAGGGCTTGGTAATTGACGAGCATGCTTTTTTTTCTTCTATCACGCTATCAAGAAGCTAGCAAGCCAATGATATATGTTTAGCTTATTCAAATGTAATGGTAGTCAAAATCATTTTAAACCGTATTTATGTAATGAAGAATAAAATGCGATTTTACAAATTTTGCCGCCACATGAAAAATAAAATCTTCCGGAAAAATCCTATGTTAATTTTGCAATCTTATTTCTTTACTACATTACGTTTCAGTAATTTTTAATAAAAAAAATTACTAAAATATTTTTTATTACTAAAGCTCTGCTTTTAAAAGTGAAAGCAAGTATCTCTTTGAACTGTAAATTATTATTACAAGACAAGTGATTTTATTCATTAAAAAAATGAAAACCGATAGCAAAATCGATTATTTATTACCCTCAACTTTACAAAAAAACAAATAGCGCTTTTTTATGATTTTGACCTATTCTCTCCTATTGTTACTAACTCAGGCTAGCATAATATATGTAATCAATTACAGAAAAAGATAAAACTGGTACCCAAACTATTTCTTTAACAGTTTATTTCTGGACAGAGTTATAATAGCTGGATAGATTTACTTCCCCATTGCTTAGTTCAAAACAAAAATTATGCTATTACACTTTCAACTAAAATTGATTAGATATCATACCTGCCAACCCTTTCGGATTTTCCCGAAGATTTTATTTTCATATTTAAAGTGGTAGTAATTATTTACTATTTTTTCTTTTATAATCTTAATTTTTAAATGATATTGATCACCACTATTCTTACAAAAATTAAGCACATATATTAATATGCGTTACTATCATGGTTGTCAACTTAAGTTTTCTCAAATACAACGTATTTGTTTGCTTAAAATTGAAGTTTTAATTCCATTTTAATACCACAGAGAAAAATAATAGTGGAAGGGATTAAAAGTTGGCAGGTATAAGATATGCAGAGATGACAAGTACTGCACTCTGTAAAAAATATTTTCTAGTGGTAACGAAATTTAAGTTTTTTTTTAATTTAGTCTTTTTTCCTTTTAAGTAATTTTTCCACCACTACGTATCAAAAATTCAAAGTATCAAATAAAATGTAACTTAAATGAAGCAAGCTAGACATGCTAACTTGCTCCACTTAGTTAAAATAAACTCTCTAGCGGTAACAAAATGTAAGTTATTTTTCCACCACTACGTATCAAAAATTCATAGCATCCTATCCAATGCCTCCTATAACTGAAAGGCTCCACACGGTTTTTAATTGGTAGTCCGATCAGACCACTAAGAATATAAACCTATTTACAAGAGAGGCATTTAATACAAAATCTATTAAAAATAAGAAAGTGGAAGCAAATATATGCCTAAAAATTTGTTTAATTTATGAATATGATTGGTTTGTCTTTGTTACTTGTCAACCACTACAAATTCAATTCTGAAATTCATATGAAAAATTTCTCTCAAGTACTTTCAGAAATGAATTTGGGTTCATGAGCACAACTGGTTCACTTTTTAAATAGTCTGCGCAGACTACTTCTAAAAAATCGTGTGGAGGCTTTCTGATGTAGGAGGTGATAGGTCATCTCGTGGTGACACTTTCAAAGAGTGTGAGTAGTTATCCTTCTTCTACAAGTCTTACAATTTAATTTACTATCAATTTATTCAAACTTTTTCAGAAAGTTCGCAACCCTAGCATCCTAATATTGATTAAACTGAAAGCAAAATGAGTCCGAAAATTTACGAAACCAGCATTTAAGCTACCGCTTTTCATCAATTGTTTAATTCTGATTTTGTGCGAATGCTTATATAATACGCTCGTAGCTTAGGGGTGGGTAAAAATATTGATATTTTTCTTGACATCACACATATAGATTTTTTAATTTATACATAAATTACCACCTTTTTAGTAAATTTCAATTTTTCGTGATTATAATAATTTACTTACAATTCTCTATTAAGGCTCCAGTTACAAAAGCGCAATTTTTGGTCAGGGCTGAGGGCTTTTATAAATAAAGCCGGAAAAGAGCAAGAATTGAGATGAATATCATTTCATTAGAACTTGTTTAACGGAAGAGTGTAATATCCATGCTGGGTTACCACGGACCTGAAATATTTTTTTAAAGCGGTAGTAAATTTAGGGTGATGTTACAATATGTTTTTTTTTAAATCTTAGTATACCTTTCTATCGTTAAGTGATGGAATTTTTATGGATATATATATTTTAAGAAAACAATTTTTAGTGGTGGTTACACAGAAATTAAAATATCAAAATTTGTTTTATTTTTGTTACCACTATTCAAAATTCTCAGGGACCGTGGGAACTGCCATGATAAACCAAAAAGTTTTTTAGCAGTTGTTATATATATGTATACAAGACTATTCTCCACCCGAGAGAAAGTAAAAAGTGAGAGATCATTTATAATTGAGAGGAGAAATAGTTTTACTCCTTCTAAAAAACAGCCATAATAGAATTATTTTTTTTACCAGTTATTACACTTTTCCGTCTTACTTTTTGCCCAGCAATTTGGATAAAAACAAGAGATACTTTTTGAAAAAAAAGTAATAAAAAATTTATATTATGACAAGAGCAAACGTCCCGCTTTAACAGAGATGCCAACTGCTCCGGACATGCCATAATAATTAAAAAAAAACGGTAAATAACTACAAACTAAATTTTGCAAATATTTAACAATTTTTTGCTTGCTTTTTTAAAAGGTATAGCATGACCTGTAAAGTGGTGAATCATATAAGCCTGCAAATTATTTAGAAATAGAGGTGGATAAAAATCTACTAAATTGAATTTATTAAACCAAGAAACACAATTGATAAACTACCACTTTAAAATATATATTTGCTGTCCGTTGCATGTTGGCATCTCTTCTTTAAATTAAATGAAAAAATCTCTTCATACAGGGGTTTTGCAAATTTATGGAAAGACTTCCTCACTAATTCTATGTCAACACTATTTCTTTCAACACGAAATGTTTTGAAAGATTTTAGCTGGCAAAGTTGTTGGGGAATGTGAAAGATCATGCTTAATACTTTTAGAAACAATGTCATTTTTATCCCGGCAAATTTGCATCAATCAAAATGAGCGTAGGAACTTAAAAAGCTATTGTTCCTTTTTAAATACTATTATGATTAAAAAAGCATTCTAACATAATTATTGCAATCGTGCAGGTTGGCTTCATAATTGCGGGTATCAAAGCTAGATAGAAGTTATGAAATAAGAAGTTAAAATTTTTGTCGATCGGAATTTTACATTGGTAAAAATGAATTAATTTCTAAAAAATTCAAGCATGGTCTTTCTTCTAAGAACCGCATAAGTTGGTAAGTATGCTTTATCTAAAGGAAAGATTGTTCAAATAGAGGTTACGCTAGAAGCGTTTCCATAGTTCTGTCCAATCCCTAAATATGCATATATTTACAAATAGTTGCCAACTTGTACGGTTGTTGAGAAAGTTCTTAAAGAGTAATAATCTTATAATATTTATGAGATTAAGATTTTTTGAAAATTATGCTATTTTACCAAGTAAAAGGATATTAACCTAGCTCATATTCTTATACTCATAAGTGTAAATTATTGATTTGTTGTGGTAGTTAAAACAATAACAGATTTAATTTTTAAAATTAAGATTTTTGCATTAAAATATAAATATTACTACCACTGCGAAAAAAACTTCTCAATCGCTGCACATTTTTGCACGAACACGCACATGTATATAGGCCAATATAAGAATATTTAAAATATATATTACAGTGCACACGAATGTCATAATTTAGCAAAATAAATATAAATAACGAAATGATTAAGTAAGCAGTAAAATTGATGTTTTTTAATAGTTGCCCTGAAAGAGCTTTTTAAGATACTTCTATTCCAATTATTCAAGTAAATAAGGCAGACAGTTATTATATAAATATTGCATTTGATATTTCAGTTGATTTTATGCCAAATTGATGGATCCATGTTCTACATGATGAATATTTTAACATCCTCTTAATAATGATTGATAATACATTCAGCACGACTTAAATCAACCTTGAAAATTAAATTGAAATAAAAATAAATTTTTAAAATAAACTTGATATTGAAGTTAAATTTTGAAGCAAAATGTTTTATACAAATAATTTTTAACTTTCATTTTTTTAAAATTTTTAATTCAAAAAATAAATTATAACGTAAATAGAACTTACCAAAAAATGTAATTTTCTTTTATAAATAGTAATCCCTTTGCTATTGCAACAGTCTATTCAGTCAGTAAGAGAACGTATAAATCCACAATGTCCAAAAAAGACGTCTACTTCACGTCCACTCTCCCCCAATCACATCGCTTCAAAAGACCGCCAATTTGAGGAGACGAAACTAAAACGTCTTCTTCTCTTAGGAGATGTTTAGATATTAGATGGAAGTCCAGAACTTCACACACGGGTGTTCCAAAAAGGAACGTTCGGAGTGACCCGGATGGTGATGGAGGAGAGAGATCAACACGTGACCGCCGGCTAGTTGCATCCGGGCGGAACTTGGAAGATCATCGATGATGATGATGGGGGTAAAAGAGGGATCGCCGGCGAGGAAAAATTCTCGAGCTGATTTTTCTTATTTATTTTTCGTTCTTTATTTGTTCGGAAAGTGGGTTAAGAGTGTGAAGGTTACGAAGTCGAAACGCCAAGTGTCAAGTAATAACTAGAAGGAATGGATGATCAGTGAAATCGCTCGTGGGGTATTCTTAGTTTTTGTCGTCTGCGACACTTTTTTTCGAATGGCTTTAGCGATGAGAACGATGTCTATCGGAATCATTTGACCACCCCCTCTGTGTTAGACACAATAGAAAAAGATTTTCGATATCTTTCGCTTTTGATGCGTTTGGATTTCGAATGAGATGTTTTTTACAGATATCTTAAGTATGTCAGAGATATAAAAGCCCGTTTTTTATAATAGTTCCATCAATTCGAATATTATTCTAATGAATCGGGATTTGCGTCTATTTTTGCCTTCTATATTGTTGATAATGGTGTATCAAATAAATGGAGTATGTGTAAGAAAATTTTCCCAAAACTAATTCTAAAAATAACTGTGAGAATATAAAGATCGGAATACATTTTTGTTGAGATAAAGTATGCATTTCAAATATAGTTTCGATCAATTCAAGCGGATCACTATAATGCTCACTAAAATTTCAAGATTCGCATGTTCATTAGACGGAATTGTATAAAATTCGCTACAAATCCAACAAAATTTCCGAAAATTATTAATTATGCTTATTAATTATACTTTAAATTATACTTATTAATTTACGCAAAACAAAATAAACTTCCAGATGATGCAAAACTATAAGATTGATTTTTCGTAAAGCTAAATGAAATGCCCCTTTTCAGATCAATTTACCATTTATAAGACTTTGAACATTCCATAAAAAAATTATTAAAAAGACAAGTCTTTTTAATATTAACTCACACTGCGTGTATCATTCATTATACATTATGTTCAATATACACTGCTGTATAATATTCGCTGCAATCCCTACAAAAATATTTAAAAAAAAAAATCTTTTTAATCATTATTTTACATACACTAAGCTTTTAGATAATGCAAAACAATAAGATTATTTTTTGGTAAAAATAAGCAAAATGACCTATTTTCAGATCAAATTACTCTTAAAAAAACTTCCGAAATTTCATAAAAAATTATTAGGTATTCAAATCTTTTAAATTTTAATACACACCATGCGTTGTCATTCATTATACATTATGCTCATTATACACAACCATATATGGCAACGTTACTTTTAAAAAGTAACGAGTAAAAGTACAAGTATTTTTAAAAAAAGTAACGAGTAATAAGTTCTTATTTTAAAAAGTAACGAGTAAAAAGTACAAGTACTAAACAAAAAAAGTCACGATTTAAAAGTACATTTCTAGAGAATCGAAAATTCAAAGTAACCTAAAATTTTATTGAATAATATTCTTATGTTAAATGTTTTTGCAAAATTGTTGTTATTTATTTAATTATTTTTGATTTTGAAAGTTATGGACATACCGCAAGTTAGACGGAAGAATATTATAATGTAATTTTATAATATAATCGTATAATATAATTTTAAAATCAAATATAATTTTAATATCAAACTTTTTATGGATTTGCACGAAAAAGAAATTTTATCTATTGATTTTAATTTTTAGTTTATTATTTTTATTTATTTAAATTACCATTGATTTAAAATTGTTTTACTCTATAGAAACGCGTTTTAAAAGCACAAACATAAACAAAGCAAACACGGGGTTTCAGATAGCTTTGTGATCTTTGAGCTAGTAAAAAATAATTGAATGTGCAGTATAAGTTGAAACAGAACAGTCTACAGTTTTATTTGTAACAATGGCTAATGCTGAAGTCATGCGAGAAAATCATTTTCCGAACATTTCTGCCTAACGGAATAATTAAAATTTGTAAACGAATTTTAGTATCAGCGGCTAAATTAATACCTTCGAGTTTTCAAGAGTTAAAATAGTAATTATAATAGTTTTCAATAGCACAAATAGTTCTGAAGTTCTTAGAGATTTGACTGGGCGTTGTTTGACAAGGTCGGGCATAAACATAATTTTAGTAAAAAATGTACTAGGTAAAAATGTATTTAGTAAAAAATGTATTAAGACAAAAATGTATTATTAGTGAGTTCAAAAAGAAAATTGAAAAACGTAATAACAAAATCCAACATTTTTTATTTAAAATGTATTAAATAAATGCATAAAACTCGAAAATGAATGAAAATAACTTGCTAATTAATATTTTTATTTATTTTGCAAAATAATTGCATTTCGAAAGTGGTGTCACTGAGTCTGCTGAGCGAATTTCTCAGATCGTGCTTAGCCACGCTGAATAAGCGCTCCACGGGAGGTCAAGGTATTTAAACACGAAGTTAGCTGTGAATGCATATATATTGCACATTAATTTTCTAAATTAAAAAAACATAAGCATTTTTTTTAAATATTTTTATTTTTATTTTTTAGAAAGCTTACCGAGTTTTAGAAAAAAGTAACGATTTCATTCGACATTTCCGTTACAAATACTTGTACTTTTTCCCTATAAAAGTAACGAAAGTACAAGTAAAAGTACTAAATTTAAAAAGTAACGAAGTACAAGTAAAAGTACGTACTTTTTACTTGTACCGGCGGTACAAGTAACGAAAGTAAAAGTACTGCCATATATGTGCGCAACTGAAAAATATTCGCTGCAGTCTCAACAAAAAAAATTTTCAAATAAATAATTTTAATTATTATTTTACACACAATAAGTTTTCAGATAAGGCAAAAATAAATTTTTTTTTATAAAACTAAGTGAAATGACCTTTATTCAGATCAAATTACTCTTATAAAGACTTCGAAAATTTCATAAAAAAATTATTAGATAGGCAAGTCTTTTAAATTTTAATACACAGCATGCGTTATCATTCATTGTGCACAACTATATACTATTGCCTACAAAGTTTCTTTTTTATAAAATTATTTTAATTATTATTTTATACACAATAAGCTTTTCGACAATGCAAAAATACAAGGCTGATCTTTCGTAAAGCGAAGCGAGATGTCCTTTTTTTTTTCTTCAGATCAATTCACATTTACAAAGGCATCTGAAATTTCATAAAAAATAGATACACCAAGCTTTTTAGTTTTAACACATACTTTGCTAAGCGTACATAACTCTGCTTAATATATTTTATAATTCAATATTTTTTTTAATTTAATTACGTTATTAATTAATGACGTTATTGCTTCCAAGTTGCATCTAAGGGACGCCTCATCTTTTTAAAAGAAAATTATTTATGAATTAAGCATTTAGAAATTTTAATGGAAAATCATTTTCTTTTACCTATGTACAATTATAAGCAAATATTATTTTAACATTGCAAACATTTAATATTTTTATGAGTAGTTGGAAACAGGCTATAATATTTCAGTTTTATAATGCGATACGTAAAGCTCGTAAGCTTCGTTTAAGTGTAATTTTCAAAAGAGCAGACAAAGTATATATGTATGTATATAAACCTGTACATTCCTTACAAACTTATACATTCAGATGAAACATAAACGAAACTAAAAATGTAATTTTGAAAAAAAATTGTAGAGTTAGGAACCAAACTAATTTCAGATTTGTATTCCCCACATCCGTACTTGAAGATCATAGTTCAAGTACATGCATACTGCCGTGCAATTGAAAAAGCAATGATTCCGAGAAAAGTGGCTTGGCAACTATTTTCCTTCTATTGGTAATGCTGTGAACGCTTAAATAGATTTTCAAAAAACTGATAAAACAGAGATTATTTTTGAAGAATAATTTTTGTAAAATAAACAGCTTTCTATATATAGGTGTCAAATATATAAAAATCTCAATTTTGAATTTTTTGTCGCTTTCGTTTATATTTCTATTACACGATAGTGCCAATGTAAAAGTAAAGAAGTTTTTACGATTACTTTCATTTTTGAGACAAAATTTTAGACAAAGTAATTAACCGTAATAATCTAATTTGGGTTTTCAAGAGGATGTTATTTTTAAATTTAATGTGGTAACAAAATTCACGCATATTGCTTCTTCAAACAAATTTTAAAATTGTTTATTTCCCATTATACATGAATAAATAAATTATACATATATTAACACTGCCATCGATTTAATTTATACGGGTCTAACGTAACCAAGTCATATCCAGCGATGCCAACTTCACACCTGCCAACTCATCCGGATTTTCCGGAAGATTTTATTTTCATATTTAAAGTGGTAGTAAATATATACTATTTTTTCTTCTATAAATTTAATTTTTAAATGATTTTGATCACCACTATTCTTACAAAAATTAAGCACATATATCAATGTGCGTTACTATCATGGTTGCATACCTGCCAACTTTTACGCATATGGCGTAAAATTTTATTTTCATATTTAAAGTGGTAGTAAATATATACTATTTTTTCATTTATAAACTTATTTTTTAAATGATTTTGATTATCACTATTCTTAAAGAAATTAAGCATATATATAAATATGCGTTACTATCACGGTTGTAAGCTTAAGCTTTTTCAAATACGGCATATTGTTTTGCCTAAAATTGAAATTTTAATTCCATTTTAATACCACTGAGAAAAATCATAATGGAAGGGATTAAAAGTTGGCAGGTATGTGGTTGTCAACTTAAGTTTTCTCAAATATAACTTATTTGTTTGCTTAAAATTGAAGTTTTAATTCCATTTTAATACCACTGGGAAAAATTATAATGGAAAGGATTAAAAGTTGGCAGGTATGCAACTTGCTCCGTACAGCAAATATTTATTCTAAAGTGGTAGTTCATTAATTGTGAGATTCCTAGTTTAATAAATTCAATTCAGTAGATTTTTATCTACCACTATTTCTAAATAATACGTAGGCTTATATAATTCACCACTTTAAGTAACGCTATGCAATTTAAAAATAGTCAAATATTTGCTAAATTTACTTTGTAGTTATTTACCGTTTTTTTTAA